CTGTATAGCACAGGAAAATATACACAAAATGTTATGATAAATCACAGAGAAAAAAATGTAAAAAAAAAAAGAATAGTGAGAGACTAAAAAAAAAGTAAAAAAAACACTATTCTTAGCATCTTACTTACAGGAGAAATAATAAGTACTTTCCCATTCAATCTGAGAACAAGACAAAGATGTCCATGGTCACCATTTCTATTTACATTTACTGGAGATCGTAGCCCATGCAATAAGGTGAGGAAAACAAATTTAAAGAATAAACCTAACAAGAAAGAACACTACACTGAAAATCACAAACATTTGCTGAATTTAATGAAACTCTAGGTATTTAATCAAGATAAATAAAAACTTATGCTCACAAAAAGGCTTGTACAGGAATGTTCATAGCAGCTTTATTCATGATGCCACAAACAGGAAACAACCCAAATATTCATCAGTGGGTGAACTGATTAAAAAAATTGTGGTACGTTCATACAACGGAAACTACTCAGCAGTTCAGGGAAATGCAGTACTGACACGCAAAAGACTGGAGAGAGCTCTGTATTATAAATGCAGATTTATAAATTATAATGCGCTGCCTTATAAACTGGGGAAAATGTTCTTAGAGTTTCTGAAAGTAAGCAAAGAGGAACAGAGAGATCTCTAGGCCACTGAGGCCAGAGGCAGGAGCCAAGTTAGTAAAAAATAGCCAGCCTTTTAAAGGTAGTATGGCACTTGCAAATACACCCCCAGAATTTTTGACACTCCTCCCATAGAGAGGGAAGTCTGTTCCGTTTTCCTGAACCTGGGGTCTGTGAACTGCTTGACTAAGTGGAAGATGGCAGTACTGACATTGTGCTGGTTTCCAGGCCCAGGCCATGAGATTCTGGCCAGCACCAGCCAGCCAGGCATGCAGTGCATGCACTGTATTGTAGGTAGATTTGGAGCCATATTGGAAGCAGATCCTCTAGCCTCAGTTCGGTTACACCAGTGATGCCACAATGAGCAGAAGCTAGCCATCCCCACTGAGCGCTTACTGAAATTGCAAGTGAATGCACAAAGTAAGTGATTTTTTTGTTTGTTTTAAGTCACTACATTTTGGGGTAATTTGTTTCACAACAGTGTAACTAGAACAGATTTTCAAGGGAGCTGCTGTTGTAACAAGAATATAAAGCATGTGGCATTGACTTGGGAACAAGCAGTGAATGAAAACCTGAAGGTCCCCAAGGAACTGTCAGTGGAGCTTACAGGAAAAAATATTAGAGGAAGCTGGAGGGAAAGAGACCCTGGCTATGCAGTGATGGAAAATGTCATAAAACTCTCATCTGCAGTAACGTGAGACATAGGAAATAGCCCTAACAAACTCAGTGATCTGGTTAAGTAGATTTCTAGGCAAAGTATTCAGGAAATCAAGAATGCTCCTCATGGGATGCGCCAAGAGGACGGGATCCAAGATCATCTAGATCTTAAAGAACAAGGTGAACACCGCTAACATCCAGCTACATTTATGTTCCTAGACAATGATTTTTTCATTCATACTCCACCAGCATTCAACAAAGGGCTTAAAGTGACTTTGTAAAATACTTTAAATACATAAGTAAAAGTTAAATATAAACTGAAGCAGAAAGAAAATGAGAGCGGGGACATGAAGTAAAACAACAGGGTATCAGAGATCTAGGTGGGACCATGACTCTGATGCGGCAGTCCATAGACCCCACGTTGAGAAACATTGCACTCTTTTCATCTTCGGGCTATTTAAGTTTGTAATCGCTAGACAATCAATGTTGACTGTCTCAGCTTCTATTTGTCTTTGTCTTTGGAACCATCTCTGGGTTCAAACAGTGAAAGTGAAGCTTGCCTCAACCGCCACTTCTCCTCGTTTGATGGAACCACATGCCTCCAGTGAAAGAGGGCTGACTATGATGGTGAGTTGCAAGGAACTGATTGTTGTTTCAACCCCAGTAATGCAGTGCATTTATTAGCAGAAAGATTAAAAAGAATGAGGATCCTAGGGGAAGGGTATAGCTCAAGTGGTAGAGCACATGCTCAACATGCAAGAGGTCCCCGGTTCAATCCCCTGTACCTCCTCCAAGTGGAAATCAATGAAGAAACCTAATTTCCTCCTCCTCAGAAAACAAGAATGAGGATCCTTAAGCTATAGGGGATAAAACAGATTCTTGGTCAAAGTAGAAGAAATATCAGGAGAATTAACACAAACCTAAATGCTTAGGAGATTAAAAGATCCACATTGAGAGTACTCAGCTCAAAGAAAGAGGACATTCTGATTGGCTCCTCCAAACTCCTCTGCCCTAGATGACCCATCCAAGCCAGCTGTGGGTCTAATAAGGCAGCACGTCACCCAGTTGCTGCTGGTCTTATGATGAGGTTACCAACAGACTTAGATCAAGATGAATCATCAACCTTAGGTTAATGAAGAGGCATGAGAGCAGAAAAAATGGAAAGTACCCAAGTGCCTAATGACATCATTGGGCCATTAAATCTGCCAACCCTGAGTCCTGTGTTCTGCTAGACTTTTTGTTATTAAAGAGAATATACCTTCTCATTTGGGGGAGAGATCAAGATGGCAGAGTAAGAGGACATGGAGCTCACCTCCCCCATGAACACATCAAAAACACATGTGGATCAATCCTCACGGAAAACAAACTGAAGACTGGGAGAAAGACTCTTTCTTACACAGCAAAGGCTGTATAAAAGAGCCACGCAGAAACGGGTAGGAAGGGAAGAGACGTGATCAAGTCGATACCAGCACCCCTGGAAGGGGCACAGAAGAGGAGGAGGTTACACAGGCTCAGCTCTGTGGGGAGTGAGCAGTTCGATCCATAAACTGAGTGTCCCACTCCTGGGGTCCGGCACCAAGAATACAAGTTAGCTGGTTTGACAGCCAGTGGGACTGACACTGGGGCTATAAGAAACCTGGACCTTGCTCTTGAAGAGTGCACGTGTTTGTATACTCCCGAACAAGGTGGAGGAAGCAGACTGACACTGCCTGGGACTCTGGCTGCTTTACCACGACTGCCCCGGCACATGCCCTAGTCTGGCCCAAGCACTTGTCTGGCCCTGGCTGCTCTGTGGCGCAGCTCCGCACTGGGACAAGGGCTGCCACAGCCAAGGGCAGTACACAGTTGTAGGGGACGAAGCCTGCTTGGACCTGGCACTGCACTGAACGAGGTGAGGGAGTCACTGCTGGCGCCTACAAAGGCACCAGATCAAAAGTAGTCTGGAACTCTGACTGCTGCGGGGACTGCCAAAACCCCCCTGACCTATGCCAAGTGCCCAGCCCAGCCTCTCTCTCTCCAGCACTGCTCCCGTCTGGGGCGAGGGTGCCAGCGCTGGGAGGGAGGAGAACACAAACTTAGAGGGAATGATGCCGGCACAGACACAAACCCTCAGAACTTCTGCTCCAGCAACGTAGAACCTACCCCTGCCCCTAGTAGGATGGTGTTGGCCGCTGAGAAGGGGAGAAGCCCTGGTTCACAACTGACCCTGGCTCTAGCCCCACCATCTCCAGCCCCACCTCCTACCAAGGTGACAGCTGCCAGGACACCCTGGGAAAAGATGTGGCTTATGCTCATGTCAGATCCAGCTCTCCCACCAAAGCCCCTGGGCACAAGCAGACTGTACAGGGCCATTCCCACAGCAGGACACCCAGTCAAGACTGGGATAGGTAAATATTTCACCTAAATCATAGAGACCAAGAAAGTTAAGCACAATGAGAAGACAGGGGAATTTGTTCCAAATGAAAGGACAAGACAAAACCCCTGAAAAAACAACTAATGAAACAGAAATAAATAATTTACCAGATAAAGAGTTGAAAGCATTAGCAATAAAAGTGCTAAGTAAATTAAGGAAAAGAATAGAGGAATACGGTATGAATTTCAATGAGGAACTAGAAAATGTAAAAAAGAATCAGTCAGAACTGAGGAATACAATAACTGAAATGAAAAACACACAAGAAGGTATGAATAGCAAACTAAGTGACAAAGAAGAGTGCATATGTGACCTAGAAGACAGAACAAGGGAACTCATCCAATCAGGACAGCAAAGAGAAAACCAAATTTTTAAAAATGAGAACGGTTATATGTGGAATCATTAAAAAATAAAACGAATGAATGAATATAACAAAACAGAAACAGACTCACAGATACAGAGAACAAACTAGTGGTTACCAGTCAAGAGAGGACAAGGCGGAGGGACAGGGTAAGGATACGGAATTCAGAGGTACAAACTACTGGGGATAAAGCAAATAAGCTACAGGGGTATATTGTACAGCACAGAAAATCCATCAGTACTCTATCATAACTTCAAATGAAGTATAATCTATTATAATATTGAATCACTATGGTGTACACCTGAAATTAATATAATATTGTAAATCAGCTAGTCTTCAATAAAATTTTTTATATATTGAACATATATGTAAATATATATATATTTATATATAGCTTCTCTTTTTTAGGCCAATTTGAGTCAAGGTATTTGTTAACTTACAGCAGAAAGTATACGAGCTTTAAAAATCCTCAGAATTCAGTATGTGAAGAAAAAAGGCATTGGAAAAAAATCTTAAAGATCAGTTTAAGAACTAGGTTTTTGTGTAGTGGTCAAGACTTGACAAGTCGGCGGGGAAAGATGCTCTGATCCCAGAAACAGCATGAGACCCACATAGAGAAGGCAAGGGCAGAACTAACCCAAGAAGCAGGCTGAACTTTGAAAGATCCTGCTGGAACAGCTTGAAAGACATATGTGATACAAGAGACCTTTCCATGGCTACAGGGAAAGTATTGACATGTAACATTTCTGTTCTCACAGAAACAGCTCAGATTATTCGAGGTCTGAAACACTCAGAAGAGGAGAATTTGAAGCTGGGGGAAAGCATGGGCCAGCAGGCAAGTTGGTCCTTCCTGGACTGCTGAGGTAAGTTTCACCCAGTTTCGCCAAGTACAGCTTCAGTTCAGGATTTTGTATTGAGGGGTTAGTTTGAGCTGAGACCAGGGGTTTATTACCCAGAGAAGTAGAATTCCTGGGCCTGCAGAATTCAAAGCCAAGAGGCAGCAGCAGCAGCGGTGGTCACTGTGGTTGAAAAATGAAAAGACTGGGTTTCCTCCTGTGGGTGAGAACTGGAAGGAAAGAGCAGAAGCCAGGTTACCTCGGGTGGGGCCATTCATTCCCGGCTCCAGATAATCTCCTTCCAGGAGGGAGGACACTAGTCAGCATGACACCCCTGGTCCCTCCCTCCCCCCTCCTGTCTATGACAGATAGGCTCTTAGACATTTTGGAGAAGGAGCCCAGGCTATGAGGCGGGTCTCTTTCTGCCTATCTCTCTGGAGCCAGCCTGGCAGCAGAGAGAAGGCCTCTAGTTGGATGCCCCAGGTATAGGCGTTGCAGCCTTGCCTGGCCGGAGCAGTTCCTTAATCGTGGTGCCCAGGACAAAGAAACCCATCATTGTCACGCAGCTAAGCCATGTCCCCCAGTCCAGTTTTGATTAGTAATAAAGCTGATGTTACGATCTCCAGCTACTGACTTCTCATCTCTCCCTTAAGTGAGTCTGAAATTAAATGCATAAAAGGTGTTATTGTGGGCCCCCCTCAAATCCCCACAAAAACCGAAGGAGATACATAGTTATAGTCTTTGCTGGGAGAGGTGCCAGTTATACATGAAGCTGCCTCCCTAGACAGGTCCCACACGGACGCACCACTGATGTCCCAGAGTATAGGGCTCAAAGGGCAAATGGAAACCAAGAGGTTTTAAATATTCAAGGTGGACACTACAGGGGAGAAGGAAGCCACGAGAAGCCTTGGGAACACGAGATGGTGTCACTAAAAATTTACAAAATTTGCAAGAGGGTAGATGCCACTCTCTGAAAGAGGAAGCCATTCAAATAGGTAGATTTCCCCCTGAATTTGGAAAACATAAGGCGACAATTGACCTTCAGATGGAAACTATCCCAAATTTAAATTAAGTTCCACAGGGTGGAGGGTACAGCTCAGTGGTAGAGTACCTGCTTAGCATGCATGAGGTCCTGTGTTCAATCCCTAGTACCTCCATTAAATAAATAAATAAACCTAAATACCTCCCCACCAAAATCAAAATAAATAACATTAAGTTCTACAATGGATTCTGGATATTGACCAATGATTTTTCTTCCTTCTGCGGTTTGATCTGTCTGTTCCCCACACTCCAGTGAAGAAGCCTTTGCGAGAGTCTATGGCCATTGGTGTCCTGGGATCAGGGGATTGTCACAGATTATATATTGTTAGGTTGGCTTCAGATTTGCTTGCTTTTTTTTAATTTTGTGGGTTGTAACCCGACTTGTGATATTCTTATTAGTTTTGGCAATCTTCTTGCCTCTTGGACTTAGGAAAACATAAGAGAGCAAGGGTTTGCTGGAACTTGGTTGGTGTGCTAAAAGAGCCACATCTCCCAAGAGGCACAGGCTGCAGCAGCCAGAGCAGTGAGAATCTGGACCTCACCCCATCCTCCGCAGCAATGTCTGAGTAGAATAAGGACATTAACCAGGGGGATTTGGGGGTTATAATTTCTTTGGGAGTTTAACCTACAAAGAAGGGGAGATTTCATTTCAGTCCATTAATTTTACTATGGGGCTTAACAATGGGAGGGGACATCAGGGACGATGACAAAGTGGGAGGTGCCAGGAATCTGTCTCTCCACTTTGACAATGACTGTACTAGCAGAAACTGTCTGAAGTCATTGTTTTGGAAATCTGGAGTCAATCTGAATGTTTGCAGCTCGCAGGAGAAAGCTTGACTGGTAAAGTGTGGCTAATTTTAGCCAATTTTACCCTTAGTGCTATAGTGGCTACCTACCCCTCATCCCTCCCAGCCCAGTGGCAGCAGCTGTGCCCACATTTCTGGCGTGCTTGCTGGAGCCAGGGTGGACAATAAGGAATTGGCCCTCTAAATATTAGGGTTCTGTGTTCTGATTGCAGATCACTGCTTTTCACTGCTAAGGTGCAGGCATAGAGAAAGACAGTCATGGTTGCAACTCCCACTGGCTGAAGTGGTTTCCTGGGGATATGAAGGAGTTGCACCTGCTTTTTGTGTGTTCATTTGTTTGTTGTTTCCTTTTCTCCCCTTTTGGAAGCCAGACATTTAAGATTAGGACATTCAAAAGCAGCAACATACATAAGGGGATTTAGAAAGCCACTGCACACACCCAGGGACAGACATAGGCTCAGAAAACACCTGAAAAGACCATAAGCTTTCTTCTTAGGCTGATCCCCAGCACAGAGCTATTTTTCAACAATTAAAAAAAAATTAAGAAAGCAATTCCATCCCCAAACCATCTAAAATAAGTGAGTACTTTAGAATAAATCTAACCAAGGAAGTGAAGGATTTGTATCCTGAAAATTACAAAAAGTGCTGAAAGAAATTAAAGAAGGCCTAAATAAATGTAAAGACAGCCCATGTTCATGGATTGGAAGACTTAACATTGCTAAGATGTCAGTACTACCCAAAGCAGTCTACAAATTGATCACAACTCCTATTAAAATTCCAACAGCCTTTTTCACAGAAATGGAAAAACTGATCCTCAAATTTACATAGAATTTCAAGGGACCCTGAATAGCCAAAACAATCTTAAAAAGGAAGAATGAATTTGGAAGACTCACATTTCCCAACTTTGAAACATAGTACAAAGCTACAGTAATTAAAACAGTATAGTACTGGCATAAGGGCAGACATACGGATCAATAAAATAGAACAGAGAAACCAGAAGTGAATCCTTATATATGTGATCAATCGATTCTCAACAAGTGTGCCAAGACTATTCAATGAGGAAGCACAGTCTTTTCAACAAATGATTCTGGGAAAACTGGATATCCACACACAAACGAATGAAATTTGATCCATGACTTTTTCCATACATAAGAATTAACTCAAAATAGATCAAAGGCCTAACAATAGGAGACAAAACTATAAAATTCTTAGAAGAAAACATTGGGGAAAATCTTCATGATGCATGAAATCTTCATGAAAACTGGATTTGGCAATGATTTTGTGGCTATGACACCAAAAGCATAGGCAGCAGAATAAAAAATAGATAAATTGGACTTCATCAAAACTGAGAACTTCTGTGCCTCAAATGACAGTATCAAGAAAGTGAAAAGACAACCTATAGAATGGAAGACAATATTTGCAAACCACATATCTGATAAGGGATTCATACTCAGAATATGTAAAGAATTCCTGAAGCTCCACAATAGCAAAAAAAAAAATGCCAACAACTCAATTCAAAAATGGGCAAAGTATCAATAGACAATTGGCTTTAGAAGATGTGACATATATATACACAATGGAATATTACTCAGCCATAGAAAAAAACGAAATATTTCCATTTGCAGCAACAAGGATGGACTTAGAGATCATTATACTAAGTGAAGTAAGTCAGACAGAGAAAGACAAATATAATATGATATGACACATCTGTGGAATCTAAAAACTAATGCAGATGAATCTATATACAAAACAGAAACAGACTCACAGACATAGAAAACAAACTTACGGTCAAGGGAAAGGGATGGGCAGAGAGGGATAAATTAGGAGTATGCGATGAACAGATACAAACTACTATACCTAAAATAGATAAGCAACAATGATTTACTGTATAACACAGGGAACAATATTCAATATATTGAAGAACTATATTCAATATACAGTAGACAAGGATTTGCTGTTTAACAGGGAACTATATTCAATAACCTATAATAGAAAATAATTTGAATACATATATATATAAAACTGAATCACTTTGCTGTTATACCTGAAACCAACACAATATTGTAAATCAACTATAATTCATTTTTTTAAAAATGAGCAAAGGACTTGAGTAGACGTTTCTCCAAAGAGGATATACAAATGGCCAAAAAGCACATGACAAGATGCCCAACATCATAAGTCATTATGGAAACGCAAATCAAAATCACAATGAGATATCACTTCATATTTACTAAGATGGCTATGATAAAAATAATTTTAAAACACACATACACAGAAAATAACAAGTATTAGTGATGATGTAGGGAAATTGGAACCCTCGTGCATTGCTGGTACAGCCACTGTGGAAGACAGCTGGGCAGCTCTTCAAAAAGTTAAACATAAATATCTTACTACCATACAACCTAGCAATCCCACTCCTAGGTGTATACCCAAAAGAAAACAGGGAATTAAACGGGTATTTGTACACCAATGTTTACAGCAGCATTAGTCACAACAGCCAAAAAGTGGAAATAACCCAAGTGTCCATCAACAGATGAGTGGATAAACAAAATGTGGTGTGCACATACAATAGAATCTTACCCAGCTATAAAAAAGAATAAGAATTTTAATATATGCCACTATATAGATGGACCTTGAAAACATGCTAAGTGAAATAAGCCAGACACAGGACAAACATATGGTTCTAATTATATGAAGAACCGAAAATAAACAAATTCATAGAAACAAGAAGCGGATGTAGGTTACAGGAGCTGGGCGGGAGGAGTTATTGTTTAATGGGCACATAATTTATGTTGAGGGTGACAAAAAAGGTTTGGAAATAGATAGCGATGATGGTTACACAACATTGTGAATGTATTTAATATCACTAAATTATCCACTAACAAATGGTTTAAATGATAAACATTGCTATATACATTTTACCACAATTTTAAAAATAAAAATCATATTATTGGAATCTGGATGTTAATTATTCCAACTGAGTTGTCACTTGGTGCTTTCTGGAAAGCCAGGACACTAGAGCTGAGCGTATTCTGGGACAGAAAAGTAAATGGGGGCGTGGGGGAGGGAGAGGGCAAATTCTCAGCCTAGGAAAGAGTGAGAACTTACAGGTCACTAATGTCATGACAAATATCAGAACCATCTCAGAGCCGCATCTGAGTTTCTAAATCCGCTGGCTTCCACTATCTACAGACAAGCAGTGGCGGAAAGCATTGGCCGTCGGCTTGAAGCAAGCCTTGGGGGGTCTGCTCCTCTCCTTCCTAAATGCCGCCACACCTTGGGGTGACTAGGTGTGGCCAGTTGAACTTCATGGTTTAACAGGAAACAAAAGTGAAGAAACTCAGGCAGAGGAGGGATTCCTGTCCCTGGCACCTCGTTCGTCCCCAAAGGAAGGAATCCTGATCTGATGCGGTCCCTGCAAGAGTCCCAGGAGGAGCCACTGAAGCGGCGCTTGGGGAATAAGGGGTCCGGCACCGGCGGTTTGCTCCCAGCAAACACCGGCTGGGAGCCGGGCGGGGGCCTCCCCGCCAGCCCCGGCTTCGCTCTCCTGCGTGCGCGCCGCCCGAGCGCGCTTACCGGAAGGCAGCTGCCGGCACAACCTCAGCCGGCGCGGAGCCAGCCGCGCGCTCTCCCAGAGCGCCCTCCCCCTTGCAGGGCAGACGTCAGCCAAGACTTCCCACCAAAGCAATGCACCTTATCAAACACGCTTTCCACCCGGCTGGTAAACAGCCGCTGCCCTGAGCCCCTTCAAGGGCTTCCCTCCGCCCTCTGCAGCCCTGGGCACCCGTCCTCTCCCTAACCCACCCGGCAACCCCGCCCCGCAAGACCTCCCCCGTCAGCGACCTGATGTCGGGGTCTTCCAGGAACCTGCTGCAGTCTTCGGCCGGCGTCCGCTTTCGTCAGGAGCGCACAGCAGAATGAAAGGAAAGACCCTACGACCGGGCTTGTTTTTTAATTCTAATTTTAGCAGGTGAAATTTTACTTTAAATTTGCATTTACCCTCCTTTCTCTCGGCACCTCTTTCCTCTCTCCAGAACCCCTAGGAAGTCGACACTGCCCTCTGGTGGCTGAATGTTGCTATTGCACAATCCCCTTCAGAAATGTCTTGAACTTTTCCGTCTCCTGATTCATCCTGTAGTCTATCTTAGAAAAGTAGAACTCATTTCTTAACTCTCTAACCAAATAGCTCAAAATCAAGGTTAGAAGTGACATTATTTCCTTCTAAATAAAAGTGAGTGAAATAGT